CCGTTCACCACCATATTTTAAAAATGAAACCAGACTCTTTTGATATTGTTGTATTGCTTTAAGTCACTGACATGATTGGCTTCCTCTGCAGTAGAGACCATATTCCATCAGTGAGCCTGGAAATGCACGAGCAGACCATGAAGGCTATGAGGGGAGCTGAGGCAGTTGATGTTCACCACCTTCTGGATCAGCATCTCTACAAGAGCAGAAAACAGGTAATGAGCAAATTCAGTCATTACATGAGGGACTTACTAAAGCATCCTAGTAATGCACGTCCATTTAACCATTAAATTACTAAGGTGTATATGAACTAAAAACAACAACCTGTTATTTATGGCTGGCTATAGACAAATGTATATTTTCTGTATATATGCAAATCCTCAGCTTATTTGCTTGAACTGTGGCTGAGCTTGACTTTGTGTCCTGGCTGAACTATTGCTGGATACTGTTTTATAAAGAAGTAACAAACTGACTTCTCATTCTGTTGTTTATAGTATCGCCACGGGTTCAGTCGCAGTGATTTCAAAATCAACAGAGATGAGAAAGAAGTCCAGGAGATCTTCCAGAGAACCATGAGGAACCGGTTGGAGTCATTCAAGTCTGCAAAGATGGGTGTTTCACCTCCAAAGACAATTGTCAAGTACTCAAAGAAAGAACAGCAGGAGAAGGTAAAGACAAAAAGAGGGAATAAGCACACCCTACCACTGTTTGCAGAGTTGATTATGTCTCTTCTGAAGTCCAGTGAAGAGGAAATACGGTCCTTCCCCAAAGCTTCATTTTTAGTTTTTTTTTTCCATTTGACTTCAGTGTAGTACTGAAAATCCTTGGTACAAGACAGTGGTCTGGAAACTGAAAACCAGCTGCTAGACTTTTGAGAGAGAAATGTTGTCCTTTTCTTTTTAAATATTGCGTGGCTCATTAGACCTACGTCATCTTTTTATGGTTTTCTGTTTCATGATGCTCCAAATGTTTTTAGTTGGTAAAAGTTCTGGACTGCAGGCAGGCTGGTTCAGCACCCAGACTCTTCTATGAAGTCATGCTGCTGTGATAGCAATCTGCAAATTAGCAAAGCCTTCCCTGAAAAACATGTAATCTGGATGGGAGCATACTGTATGTTGACCTTTATACATACCTTTTAGCACTGATGGTGCCTTTCCAAATATGCAAGCAACCACCTCCATATGCATCTCCATACCATCCAAGATGCAGGCTTTTGAACTGAGTGCTGGTAACAATCCAGAGAGTCCCTCTCCCCGTTAGTCTTGAGAATGTGGTGTCCATGGCTTGCAAAAAGAATTTCACATTTTAATTCATCTGACCATGGAACAGTTTTTTCATGTTGCCTCAGTTTCTTTGTTTTTACGATTTTTTAAAGGCACATTGTGTTATATTTCTTCTTTTGTCTTTGATGTCAAGAAACATTTAATTTTTTTCATTTTTAAATCCTGCCTGGAAGCGTTATCAGTCAGAATGTACTGTTATGCCAAACAAACTTGGATCTTTCCAAGATCAGCTCTATAAATTCTCTATAGGCTCCTCTTGTTCATGTGCGTCATTTATCTAGGTCAAGTTTATTTATATAACGCATTTCCCAGAGCTCATGCTGCACAAAGTCTTTAAAAACTAAAATGCAACTAAAACAATTAAAATGTGCAGCAATAAAAATATAAAAGAGAAAAAGTAATACAATAAGACAATAAAGACAGCCAACACAACAATGGCCATAAGGGATATTTAGACATGGAGTGAAAACAAAAGGAAGCATTAAACAATACTTGGAAGTGCACAGATTTGTGCGCGAATTGCCAAAGGACAATGGGACACTGAGACATCAATACAAATCAAGGAGACCGAGACAAGGGAATTAGATTCAATACAAAGCACAGGTGACAACAAGATGCCAAAGGAAAGATAGGAGCTAAACACAATGGGGCACAAAGGAAAGACCAAGAAAACAATAATCAGCAATAATAAACGATACAAAATAAACCTAAGTCAGACACTTTTCAAAATAATCAGAAACTCAAACAAGGAACTAGGACTTGAGATATGCAGAAATGTGGCAAACAAGAATAAATAATAATTGATTGTTGTTGATAAGTGATTGCAGAGTGCCCTCTGCTAGACAAACTAGGAAACATCGCTATGGGTTGGACATGGCTGAGGGCGTTGATCTTGTCTCTTTTACTTTACCTTCAGTTTTTTTAAACATCATATGTGATTAAATAAATCTCCTTCGTTCTACAGACCCCAAATGGAAAGTCAGTGAGCAAGACTAAACTCTACCATTCTGGTGATGAAGGTTTGTCTGCTTGTGGGGTTTTTTGTGTTTTTGTTTTTTTCAGATTTAAAGTCTTAGCAAACTAATTTTCTCATTTTCATTTTTAGACTTTGAGTTCTCAGAGGGAGATAGCGCCTCTGGCTATGACTCGTCATACCCTTCTTTCTCCATGAGAGCCACGTACAGACCAGGAGGTGAGATCAATGCACTTTCTACATCCTGTATGAAACCAAACATATATTTTTGAGAATGATTAAGAGAGTAACAGATGCTGATATTATAAACACAGAGATTAGGGAAACATACAACAGAGGGAACTAAATAGACAGTTTGTGTGCAATAAAACCCCCCCAAAAAAGGTGAAATATAAAAGTGTGGTAGAAAGGTCTCTACAGAGCTGCAGATGAGCCACAAACCACACCACACAACAAAAGGTATGTGAGGGTTATGTAAGGGTGAGCTGCAGGGTAAAGGCACCAGACTGTCATACAACACAAGGACTTTGTACTAGTGGGCTGACAGGTTTAAAATCAGCAAATGTTCGATCCGTCTGTGTTGAATATTTCCATTCTTACCTGTTGGGAACAGTTTAGGGCTACAGTGCAAATATGAAAGCAGCTCATTATCATAGAATTTATTTTGAATTTCCTAATACTGTTCTGACTCTGCAAGCAAACACCTATAAAACACTTTCACAGTTGAGTTGAGTTTATGTATAAATGTCAAATAAAAAAAACCAACAACTCCAGAACAGCGAGTGTATTTGAGTTTAAACGTTTAAGCTGAATTAAAGTGGATAGACCACAAGTGCAAGGGATGAGCAGCCAATAATGGTTTCACTTGTATGAAAATGTAATGCAGAGAACAACAGTGGCCCTAATATTGAACCCTGAGGTACTGATTCAGTTTTTTCTTTCATTAAGGTGGGATTGAGAACCCAGCCTTCGTGCCAGATCTGTACCCCACGGATTTGTTGCAGGAAATCCCTCCTTGGCTGGCAGAGAGTGAGCCCGACAGCAGCATGGTGGCTCCGTCATTGCGAGCCCAGGCGAATCTTCCCAATTCACCTATGGAAATGCGCCGCCTGGGGCTTCTTCGTGCCAGCACTCGCTCTACTGACACAAAGCAGATGAACAATGATCAGTTGCCCTCTCCACCAACATCTCCTCCTCCTCCTCCTCCTCCCAGTGGCCAAATGTAACTGTATCCCAATGCAGACACCCTGTTCTGTCTCACTTGAACCTGGAACAAAGACACAAAACAAACCTCAGACTAATTAACCATCTACTCTCATACTGACAAGAAAATGTTTATTTTTCCATGACTATGGTTAGCTCCTGTGTTTCTACACAAAACATTTACATAACCTCTTTAAACAACCCCTGCTGTTTTTAGGTTCACCCTTCACTTGGCAAAAGAAAAACTGCACTGAAACAAATCCTTTATGTTCAACATTAGACATATGTTGAACACTGTCATATAGTCTGTGGTTTGTAGTAAACATGCTATTGAAAATTATTATTTAAGGTTTTTTTTTTCAAAACATCTTAATATTATGTAAAAACCTTTCAAATGACGTGTAGATATCAATTATAAAAACAGTGATTTAAAATACTTTCTGAATCTATAATCCATACATTCGTATTGCAGAATACCACAACAACTTTCACCACTTGGGGCACTATTTTGTGTGAAAGATGAAATATTACTAACAAATAAAATGCTACATAGGTCAATGATGCAAACACATTTTAGTGGGATGCATTTAAACATTTGCAGCATATATAATGCAGATTCTTAGTATTATTTAGTGAGGCTCCAGCCTGCTCTGAAAGCTCTCTGTTTTTTTGACTTTTGACTCTTGCAACGGAAGGAAGAGAGGACATCCCAAATATGGTCATCTCAGATGCTCCACCCACCTTCCGTTTCAGTGGGTCAAACAATTAGGAAAAAGTTGGTTTAAAGGAAGATGATGAACTAAGAGGTATTCATTAAGGGCCAGTAGAAGATAAATGAGGGTATAAATGAGGATTATTATGAACCATGAATAATGCAAAGCTACTCTTGTCTGAGAATCAAAATCTGCAGGTGTAAATGAGTTTGATGTGCCCATTTTAATTTCTTGTATTGTTTTAATTTTCTAATAAATAGAATAGGTATGACTGTTTCTCTGTCTTTCTGTGTTAGCTCTGGTGACTTTCTTAGGGTGTACCCTCCCCAGCACCCTTCACAACCCTGAATTGGATAAATGGAAGTAAATGGAGAGATGAACTGATTAAGTGTATTATCGAAAATCACATGAAAAAGAACTTTAACCTCTTAAGCCCCAATGCCCCCTGATACGGGGGCAAAAGGCAGGAGATCAGTTAGGCTTGGGGCTTAAGAGGTTAAAAGGATGTAAAAAAATATTTTTAATCAACTCCATCTGAGAAGTTTAATATTGGTGAGAAGCTGCTAATAAAGCCATTCACAGGCTTAAATTATACCTCTGAGTAAAGTGACCAAACTTGCTGGTCTGGGTACAAAAGTGGGTTGAGCCAGACCAGCATCATAATGGGCTGTGTTTCACGAGCTGTGAAAAGCTGTTTCCTTGATATACAGGAGAGCAGAGAGTGGATACTATGCTCTGGTCAGAAGAAGAGGTGGATGTATGTGGAACATTTATGTCAACAATCTACACAATAGTTTGCTGATGGTTTATAAAGGATTTTATCCAAAAATGGCAGCTTCTTGGGGATTTACACTTTTTCTCTGCGTGCTGCTGATGGTGTGTAGAGGCTTGAGCCTTGCGGGTGAAGATCCAGATCAAACTTTATCAAGCAGTGGTCAAGTAAAAGCCCTTAGTCCAGAAATAGACAATGCACTGGGCTCAAACCATGGCACAACTGGAGAAGGTGGCCATGCAGTGGAGCCCATCACTACACTGCCTATTGTGTCCTGGAAGTGGCATCATGTCACAACCCCGTACCTGGTGGCCCTGTGGATCCTGGTTTCCTGGCTCTGCAAACTTGGTGAGTCCTGCAAAGTCCTGTTTCTGCAAGGCTCCGCTCTCCCCTCATCAACCAGAAACCCTGGAAAAGCTATTTTTGCACAAAGCTATTAAAACCTATTTTAGCTAGAATTTTACACTCAATTTGAATATCTATTGTGTAGAACACAGATAGAAAAATAATGAGAATTTTAAAAAAAATTTTAACTATTTGCTGCTATCTACATTGTTAATTGGTGATTTTGTCTCCACACCTTAGGGGTTAAAGTGGGATTCAGTAGGTTGGATGTTATAGCAGTGCAGAAAAGAAAATAATTGTAGAACATAGAAGTAGGTCCCAATAATTTCCAGATTTCTTTGCCTGCAGGCTGTGAGCAGCAGAGCTGTGCTGCTACTCTTTGTAGATTCCATCCATCCATTGTCTTCCACTTATATAAGCAGATGTAACATGAACTACCGTAACTGATTTCCCACTCCTAGACAGTGTAAACCTCTTAGACTGACCATGAACACTATCGCTGCTCTACACCAACCCAACATTCAATTTAACTCAATTTACTTTTATAGCGCCAAATCACAACAGTCGCCTCGGAGCATTTTAGATTATAAGGTAAAGACCGTACGATAATATAGAGAAAATCACAAAAATCTGATTATCTCCTTTGAGGAAGCACTTGTGGACAATGGAAAGGGGAAAAAATGGGGAGGAAGACAGGCCAAGAGACACATTATAGAAGAGAGCCGGAGATTAACCCGTTGAACCCCATTACCCCTGGTGCAGATAGGGAACACGGGCTGTACCGCCAGGTCTGTTATTCAAATATAGACATGTACAGTATCCAAAGAAATGTCAGAATCTCAGCTAAAAGCGCAAAACAAACTAAAAACAATTTCCATGATCACTAAAAACAACTAAAACAACAAGGAATTAAAGAGACACAATTTGCGGATCCCCATGTTCTCCTGATGGCATCGACACAAACAAACAATGTCTCTGCTGGAAACACAAATCTCACAGATTCCAAAACTGCAAGATCTGTCATGTTCCAACCAACATTCAATGAACCAGCACTGCAATACAGCCACTTTTCCTGCATAGCTGCATCTCCCATGTGGGCTTCAAGAGCATCTTCCCATCATATACCGCTATTTTCTGCCTTATTTTCTTGCAAAGACGCATTATGCACCATTTTCTTTGCAAAAATGACCTCTGACAAGAAAGTTAATTTCTTCTATTCAATACCTAAGAAATTTTAACTTTTACAGATGGTGCCAAATTGTAAAATACTTAGCTATGTCTCTAATAAAACCTCTGTAAATTTGCTCTGTTTCACTTCAGCGGCACAATTCTTTCTACAGCTAATGTCTATATGTTGATCAATGCTTTCTTCAGTTTTTGGTCTACTGCAGCACATTTGAGTCGTTATATGCTATAAAAGGCAACAAAAAAACTCTTAAAAAAGGCAGTGATCACTGTTGGCCTCTCTCAGTTTTTATTACCACTGTTCTTTTTAAAGCTCAGTTTTAAAAACCTAACAATGTAACTAAGGTCCAGCCCATGCAGCAGTATATTAATGACTAACCTCGTATTGTTGATAGATTATCTATCTCAGTTGTTCTCCTGACTTAAGTTTGGTGCGTTTACAGTTTACTCCACCAGAGTTTGCCGGTCCAAGCCCGGGTAAAGGAGGAGGGTTGGAATTGTGACATAAAAAAAAAACAATAATTGCTAAAAGAAATTTAATTTGTAGTTCTAAATAAACTCTAAATGCATTTAGGACGTTTTTTATTCATTTTATGTCTCTTCCACGATGTTATTTCTCTTTCCAACAACATAGGTTACAATTAGATTAGCATGACCAATTATGCAAATTAGGCGATGACGTCATTTAGCGACTTCTAGCGACTTTTAGGACAACCAATAGCGATTTTCCTTACTGAGGAGTTGGCAACACTGCGGGCGAGGTGCCCACCGCAGCACCCGCTGCTTGTTGAGAGTAAGAACGATACACACTTTTACGTCAAAAAGTTGTCATAAATAAGTCTCCAATAACACCAGAGAAAGTTGCCAGATTAGTCGCTAGTCGCTTTTTACAAAAAAAGGTCGCTAAAGGGGTCTGAAAACTCGCTAAATATAGCGACAAAGTTGCTAAGTTGGCAACACTGCATGTGGCTAGCTACCATAGCTGTGTAGCTAGCCACCACGTAGAACATCATTATAAACCAGCTAGCCCAACTTTAGCAACCTTACAAATGTCACTTCTGTTTAGTGTTCTAGGTTCATTAATGTCTGAAGTGATAGTAGAGCTGTACATTTTCAAAAATCCCTCATTCAGAACATGGTATATTATGTTTAAGTGGAAACTAGCGAGCTAACTCCTTGCTAACTTTGAACTCCGTTAAATTTGATAAATCCTGTTTTTATGGATGCCTGGATGTTCAAAATGTGTTAATTACATAAATAAAATGTAATTTTCTCTATAGCACTTCATGGATTTCATAAGAAACACACCGTAGTTGTTCACACAAAGCATAAAGGTAAAAAACAATATATACAGTGTTATCTTCATTTTAGATGGTGGTCAGAGGGCCCGGTGGCGCCAGTGTCCGGCAGCCTCGCCTCTCTCAGTGCGCCCCAGGGCGGCTGTGGCTACAATGTAGCTTGCCATCACCAGTGTGTGAATGTGTGGATGACTAGATATGTAAAGCACTTTGGGGTCCTTAGGGACTAAGTAAAGCGCTATACAATACAGGCATTTACCATTTACCATTTACTATTTAGGGACCTGAAGTGGAGTTTGGACCCAGAAACGGCTAATGACGTCAGAAATAATAACTGGATGATTAAGCCCCACAAGTGTTAGCTTTATTTTGATACCAAAATGGTTAACACAGAGTTTGTAACTGGAGAGATTCTAAAATACTATTGTAATTTTTCTTTTCTTTTTTTTTAATTGTCTACCCCGCGCCTGCATTATTTAATCACCAAAATGTAATACACATGTCCTCTCTGTTTCAGTATTACTCTCAAAGCCAGCAGACTTTATACTCTTTGTTCTAGGGGGAATTTGAGTTACAGCTACCCTAGATGACGATTTTTGAACAAAGCATTTCAGAGAAATTTAATTCACAGGTACTTAGAATGTCACTGCAAGGGCAACTTTAGCTGCAGTTTACGCCAAACAAGAGGAGAAAAGTGGGATCAGTGGCTGAGATTTGACCCATGTGAATTAGTTTTATAAGCAGATTACATCAGTATCTCTATCTGATTAATGGATACATCTGAGCTCTTTTGGTAGTTAAATCTTGTTTCTCTCTAAGAAAAATGGTTAAATCTTACATAAGAGCTCTGCTTGTAATCAAGTACCACACATAAAAAAAACACTGTTTTCTCTCCTGTTTCAATTTCCCACTTTGGACATACAGTAATCAGGCAGCTCTTGTTATAGCTTCCAAGCACATACTACTGGATCACTTCACTCAATTAGAAACCTTCCTATGCAAATCTGACTGACAGGAAAAATCTAGTGTCAAATTTTCAAAATAAAAGACCACCATTACTTGTACTGTTGGACAATGATGTACACTTTAGCGTCAGGCTTTTAAACAAAACAAAACAAACAAAACAAATAAACACAAGAACAGGAAACTACCTACATTCAAATGAATGGATTGATTATTTGCTCATACTATTTAAGAATGTACTCACACTTGGCATTGCTTTTATTTTGACTGAGGGTTCTTAGACAAAACTAGGTTTGGGCTTTTGTTCTAAACTGCTTCGGTGACCTAATTTTTAATTGCAGGACCACAAAATCTTACTGAGAGCAAATTTCCTATAGAAAAGAGGGACACACATTCATGGAAAACCTTTACCAGATCAAGTTATGATCTTGATCTGTTGGTTGGCATTCATTTCAGAAAAATTTGTACAGGAGTATCATCTAACCTAACTGAGATGAGTTACGGATGCGTTTTAGACAAAAGCATTTCAGAAGATTCAGAGAATCGACCCAAAGTTTTGCACAATTACTCCGGCAACTTGAGCTGCTGCTGTCTAGAACTGATAGGGATGGGCGGTGTCACTGGATGAACTTTTATTTTAATGAGTGTTTTCTAACTGATGAATTTGATCATTTGCTCTCAGTGATTACTGGGTTTAAGTTTAAGGGAAATGGGCCATGGAACTGTGGACAATGTAAAAATATGAACAGGGGTTGTGTGCGGCAGGCAGGAATGGAGGACCCAGTATGAAGACTCCAGGATGCAAAAGGTAAACTCAAAACTCAGCTTTACTGCTGGAAATCAGAAAAGCAGAAAACTAACTAAACTGGAAACACTCATGAAGCTAAAAAGGCAGACAGACAGGACATGACACTGGATGGAAGAAAACAAAGGGGTTAAATACACAAGGAATGACGAGTGAACAGGAAACGCGACGAACACAACTGGGGCTAATTACGCACAACGAGACAGATGATGCAAAGCTGAATATAACACATGAGATGAGGTACCTTCAAAGTAAGAGAGGCAAAAGCAGAACATGGCGCACACAGACAGGAGACAACCAAATTAAAACCCAGACCAGACCCAGATAGACACGACACAGACAAGTCCGGGAAAGAACAGACATGAAAACACAACAGACAACGAGACACAAGGACACAGGGAAAGCATTATAACAAAACTAAGAACTACACATCAGAAATACAAAACTAAACCCAGGTATCCTTACAGATGTCTACGTGTATGTGCGGACATGTGAGCAGTTTTGTGTACATCTTTGCTGATATAAATGTGGGACTGTGGTTATTTGTTTATAACTAAACAAATGGGATCAGATACAACCTGTACAAATTATTTGTTATTATCATGCAAGCTTTGACTATGCATAATTGGGCGGTGCTTGCACTGACAACCCATCACACTATCAGTAGTAATGAAATGTTATTTGTGTTTTGTGGGTTTACATTTGGAGTATTGTAAAATAAGAATATTGCTTTGTAGATTTGGTAGACCTAA